TACTATGGGAAAAATCAGTATAGAATAGGGAGTGAGGGTGGCAGTGCCTAATCCAATTCCAAGGTTTGAGAAGTTGCGCGGTGCCCAAAAAGGACACACATCCCATTAGTGAGAAGTTGTGGCTAAGAATAAGATAATTTTTTTTCCTGTTTTATATGCATTATTTTTTGTAGTAGCTACTAAGTTGTTAGGACAGAAATACTTCTTACTTTGGGTCTAGCTACTTAATACACAGAACAGTTAGGTATTTCTTTAGGCCTAGGGTTACTGTGAAAAAAAGCATTGAGACATTAAGGGCATGATAAACGGACAAGGTTGGAAACTCAGGGGCTAGGTGATGAGCTGTCATGAAATCTTTCTCATTTCAAGCACACAACCTTATATTGTTGCCTTTTCATAGACTCAGGGGTGTGTGTTTCTGTGCATGTGTGGGTAACCTGAAAAGGTCATCTAGATTTTGTAACTGGGAGGGTCCCCAACCTGCCTGACCATTAGGATCACCTGGGGGAACTTTGCAAAAATAGTTCCCTGGCCTCTGCCCAGGGGATTCTAATTCAGTGGGTCTGACATTTGAATCTGAGTTCAAAGATCTCCGCTCCAACTCGCATTCTTCAGGCATCCAGGATGGCCCAAATAGAGCCGGTCTGCCCAGATCCTGAGGACCTAGTTGTTATACGTTGTGTCTGGGGCCAGGTTGTGTGGCTTTTTCGGATCCCCAGACGGGGAAGGGGCGTGGATTACGTGTCCGTTGGAACCCTGGGGGAGGTCGGTGCTGGAAGCGCTCATCTCCACCTCCAGTCTGGGTGCGCGGCGTGAGTGACCCAAGATGAAGACGATTCCTTCCGTAGGAAGCCCCTGCCAGGAGTCACCACCTCCCAGGCCCACTGGACTCGGACCCGAGCGTCCTTTGGGGGGCGGTTTCTGGGCGTGGCGGCTGAGCGCGGTTGGGGAGACGCCGCCGCGAGGTGGCAGCAGCGGCCCTCTGGCAGCCACGGTGCGTCCCGGGGGGCGGGGACGCGCCGGCTTCGGGCGGGCGTGGTCCCTGCTGCGGGCGCCTGGGTTGGCCGGGCGGACCCCGGAGAGGGGGAGCCGCGGGGACGCAGCGACAGCGTCGGGGTGCTGGCAGTGGTCGCCCACGCCTCCCAGGGGTTGCAGGCCTGGGCGCCGGGGTTGGACCAGTCTTCCGGGCATTGCACGCCCTGGTTTGGTCTGTACCCATGGTTTGTGGCGGGGCAAGACGTTAAGTTGGGTAACACCGAGGTGAGCCGCGGTCCTCGGCACCAGATGAGGAACCACTGTCTCAATAAGGTGTGACGTGGAAAATTTGTGTGTCTATGTGTGACTTAAAAATATCTCCTTTGCTGACGTCTAAAATTTCACTATTAGAGATGCAGTCTTTTGTCCTAAAGATTGTTCTCAATTCAAGGCCCTGGGAGGGAGCAGTGCATTAGAACTTGAGGTCTTTAGGGTGAGTCAATGATTTCATCTCATCTTTGTCGGCAAGGCAAGGGTTAGCCCTCAGTGCTCAAGACACAAAGAGGACTGAAGGCGCATTAATTGGTACTTGCTAATCAAGCCTTAGAGACCAGAGCGCTCCCTGGGAATTTTACTTTAGAGAGAAAACTCATTGGCCCTGGAGCACCCCTACGTCGTATCCACTTTGTGAATGTTTTAGAGAGGGTTAACGGGGTACTAGCACAGTATGATTAGTTCAGTCCATTGGATTATTACTTTGTAAAAGAGGCAGCATCTTTACTAGTGCTGTAATAAATTGCAAAATTATTATCTCCATTTCCGTTCCTTGTAACTTCTTTCTTTGAATTAAGAAAATAGTGTGGTAGGGTACCGTGAACTTTGGAGCCAGAAATTCCTTGCTTGGAGACCCCTGTCTGCCATCTGTTGACTGGCTCTGTAATTCTGGAAAACAGCCTTTTTAAACTTCAGTTTTCTTATCTGTAAAATGGGACAAATGCCGCCTACTTGGATGGTGATTGTGAGCATTAAATTAAATTCTGGAAGGAAAATATCTGGTATTTGTGTACTGATTTCAGGTCTTGGTGCTCTGTGTGTAATGGTTACTGTGAGAGCTTCCCTGCAGTCCAAATCTGTGTGTCTCATTCTCAGTGACACCAGTGATGCTGTTAAACAAGGGCAGTCCGGTTCATGGATTGTCACAATGCAGACTGACATCAAGGGGACCCTGCTGTCAGGTACAGAGGGCACCACAGTGACCAGGAACTGCCGTCCTTTCATACCAGGCTTTAGGAGGCTTTACCAGAAGGAATGGAAAATGCTGGTGGGCAGTAACATTGAAACGGCATTTGAGGACTGGTTCCGCATAAAACCTTAAATTCTTCAAGGACGTTGACATTTGTTTATTCTTGTAACAAATTGAAACCTATCCTGTGTGTTGGTTAGAGATCTTCAAACTGTAAATACCTTGAGGCAGGAGTGAGGTTTTATCTTTCAAAGGACAGGCCCCTACTCTCCTACGTAATGAGTTTCTAAAAATGGATGTGAGCACCAATCAATATTTCTCTGGTTGTTAAAGTCAAGAATAAAATGGTATTTTTAAGCTCACAACTGTGTAGGATGAATTCTGTACACTTTTAATTCCCTCTGTTCTCCTTTCCTATTTGAAAGCTGATTAGTTTATGGACTTGGGATCAGATTATTCATGCATTGTTTTTTGATGTTGTACGTCTCTTGGTTCTAGGGTATTTTTGACACATATTCTGTCTTGTAACCATAGTTAAACAACTATTTTAGACCAACTCTCTGTGTGTAATTGGCTTCAACACTCACTGCTAGTCCTTTGACACTCTATTTTTTCCATTCTTGAGTAATTTTAAGTCATCGTTTGGGCAGTTGAAATATATTTTAAAGTGATTTAAAGAATATGTGAGTGGCAGACATTCTGAGCTCTTTTGGTTGTCTGTCCTCAAAAACTAAACTTATTTGTGAGTAAAATTTTCATCTAAGTGTTTTCCATATCAAAACTCTGTAAGCTACTCCTCCATTGTAGTAGAGACAGAGGTCAGCACAATTTTCATTCCTTCTTTCTCCTTCCTTCCCTCCCACCCTCCCTCCCTCCCTTCCTCCCTCCCTCCCTCCCTTCCTCCTTCCCTCCCTCCCTCCTTGCCTTCTTCCCTTCTTTCCTTCCTTCCTTCCTTCTTTCCTTCCTCCCTCCCTTCCTCCTCCCTCCCTCCCTCCCTTCCTCCTTCCCTCCCTCCTTCCTCCCTTCCTCCCTCCCTTCTTTCCTCCTTCCCTCCCTCCCTCCCTCCTTCCTTCCCTCCTTCCTCCCTCCCTCCCTCCTTCCCTCCCTCCCTCCTTCCCTCCCTCCCTCCTTCCCTTCTTCCCTTCTTTCCTTTCTTCCTTCCTTCCTTCCTTCATTCCTTCCTTCCTCCTTTCCTTCCTCCTTGCCTCCCTCCTTCATTCCCTCCTCCCTCCCCTCTCCCTCCCTTCCTTCCTCCCTCCCTTCCTCCCTTCCTCCCTCTCTCCCTTCCTCCCTCCCTTCCTCCCTCCCTTCCTCCCTCCCTCCCTCCCTTCCTCCCTCCCTTCCTCCCTCCCTCCCTCCCTTCCTCCCTCCCTTCCTTCCTCCCTTCCTTCCCTCCTTACTTCCTTTTTCTTTTGGTTGGATGTACATAGAAAACACTTAAAAATTTGCTTGTAATTTAAAAACTTCTCAGGATATTTCTGGATTTGAGCGTCTCTTGGTTACTTTTACCTGGAACCTGGTGAACTGAGTCCATTTCTCTGTTTCCCCTTTCTGTCCCTTTTTGGAAAGTTTTCTTTAATTATATCTTCAGTTATTGGTTCTCTTTTGATTGTTCTAGATTCTTCTTCAGAAACATAACTCTTAGGCTCAATCTCTATTCCTGGTCTTCCACAGCTATCGTCTTCTTTTTAAAGTACTGTATTTTATTGAATCTAAGCTAGTATTTGTTGTAAGAAGCACTATTATTATAAGTACAACTAAGGAAGAAAAAATGCTGCCAATTAAACTGTGACATAATGCCATGATTACAGTCCTGTGAAATTGGTAAGTTGCTCACACCATTCTCTCTCTTATTTTGATAGACTTCATCTATTTTGAGGGACTTGGCAGTTGCTCCTGCATTTGGTTGCATTGTTTGGCATGTGACAGGCAATTCTTTTTGCATGAGTCTCAGTTACAAAACATAACACAGCTTCTACTTAAGGATACCTTCCTTTCTTGGGTCCTGTCAAGCTCTTAGTTTTTCTTAAAGAAAAAAAAAATAAAAAGAATTGCAGTGGTTGGTCCAATAATAGACATTTGCTTCAGTAATATCAAATTACATCCTGCTGCTTGAATTCCATGCCTTTCTGCATACATAATAACTTCTTGTTTCAATGCCAAACCATAGTGTAATCTTTTAAAAGACATTTTAAATGGCAATTAAACTCACATGTAATTGCAACAATGTATACAACTCAATTAAAGTGCTAATAACATGAACAGCTGAGACCAAGTTCACCCATGCCCAGGTCTTGATGACCTCACCATGGTAGCTCCCTGGCCCAGGGTGATTATAAGATGCCAGTGGTTGCAAGACTTGGCCTGATTTCAGAAGTGTTGATGTGGCAACACAGACATCTTAGAATTAAGGAAATAGTTTTAATTCTTGGTGCTCTTTCTTGGCATTCCGAAAGTGTTCCTCCAGTTTGCCATCTATAACGCTTTCTTAGTTTTCTGCCATGTCCATTCCACTCATTTACTGCTTCCTATGTGACTTTTAATTATGTTTAATAATTTAATTTTCTTGGGAATATTTTTCTCTTATTACAACCAGCTTCCTTTGTATCTTTTCTTGAGTCCATTGGCCAAATTCTCTTTCATAAGCCTGAAGTCCCTAATATTTACCCTGAGACTGTATTCTAGTTAGTAGAATGGGAATGCAGGTGATGTGTGTGACATATAGGACTTCCCCATAAGAGCCTTTAATGAGTTGTCCTCTGTTCTCTTTCCCCCCTTCCAGCTGAGTGCCATGAGAGGACAGTGACAACCTCGGAGGCCTCATGGTGAAGGTGGCAGAACCTTTGTTAGCCTGGGTGCTCAGGGTGGACAGCTGCTCTTGCCAACTGGGAACATCTGCCTCGAGCGCTTTTGTAAGTGACAGATAAGCTTTTATTGTACTTCTGCCAGGATACAAACATTAGATGTATTTGTACAGCAGCTAAAGGTACTCTAATAATACATATTCTGAAATCACCATGTACCCTAAAATATTTTAACAAAATTCTTGCAATATTTGTATGAGAACTGCTGGATTTTGCTTTCTTAACCAATTTGCTGTTGCTACTGGAAAAAGAGAATGAAATGATCTCAAATGAGGTAATAAAATCATTACTGAATTTTAACAGTTCCATCATTTCTGCCAAAAATAAAAAAAACAGAAGCAGCTTTAGAGTACCATTCTTCTCCAGTGGGTGTGTGCTGGTCTGATTTGCTCGGACATTTGCAGAGGGAAGAACACTTACAAGTAGTAAGGAGCTGAAGCCTGAGTGGATCATATCTGAATATTGTTTAATATTGTTTTGAATAACATATTTCTAAAAACTCCACTCTTTTAGCTAACTGCTTTCTCTTGATATCCTAAAAGTTTTGCTTCACTGTTCATTTTAAAAGAATCACAATTAGGTCTAACATAAACAAGGGAGCCAGCCCCCCATCACACTTTTGTAAGAACATAAAATGTCATCTCACATGCCAGTCTTTGAAGCTTATCCTGATAGCAGTTTAACTCAGCTTGTTTTCTATATCTATATGTATTTGTGTGTGTGTGTATATATATATGTGTGTGTGTATATATATGGTTTTCAGTTTCAATTTCATAGGGCCACATTATGTTTTTATATTATAAATGCCAATTTTAAAACATTTTCTTCTGGTTTCTGTAGTAAGTTATCTTCAGAAATGTGCTCTTTTTCTTAGTCTTCCGGGTGATGCTCTGTTTCCCTTATTCTCTTATGGTGAATGCTGTTTTTCCATAGGCTTCATGAGGATTCCCTCTCCTATATCCCCTCTTCCGCCTGTCACATTGTTTACCTTTAAGCAAGTAGAGCTCCTTGGAGCCTTGGTGCTTGCTTGCTAAAAGAGGAAGTGTAGATTGTGCCGATTGTCCTTGGCTTTGCTCACTGCCCTATTCCTAGGTCTGTAGCTGAAGGGCAGTTGTGGTGCACAACTCCCCAGAATTGAAGGGCATTCATCTTGTGCAGCCCTGCTGAACTGGCATAGGATCTCCCCCTACCTCTTCTGCCCATTCTCTAACAACCAGAACTGATGGAGGATGTGAAAATCTTACTCTCCAGCACAAACTACCTTTGTGCTTCCTATAAGGCATGCTGTGTGGAGAAAATGCCTTCCAAAACATGACGTGCCATTGGTAATCCTCTTCCACTTCCTGCTCTGTGGTTTCCCAGTAATTGCATTCTATGAATGGATGTAGATTGAGGGAGAGGTAATAGTTCTCTGGCTCCTGCAAAGAATAGCAGTCATAATAAAGAGCCAGGTTTACATTTGATTTGGTCCTGGGTCTCTGAACTGGAGGTAGAAAGTAGGAGAGAAAGAAAATGTCTATCATCTTTCAAGACGATGGTGCTCTTCTGTTTTCTAAGAAGCAGCACAGACTGTTTGTCTCAATGCAGCTCAGCTTTAGCAGCTTTATTTAGTTAGTAGGAATTCCTTCTAGATTCTGGTAACAGGTCGTTAGTCTTCATTTTCATTATTGTTGTGACTTTTTGTCATTTTTCTGTATAATAAATAATTTAGGGAGAAGTTTGGAGATCCTTTGTCAGGAACTTCTAGCCAAATGCCATTTTAAACTCTAAGTGGACCTGATTTTATTTTACTTAAAAAAATTAGGTCTGGGAATGAGTTCAGTTTACTTATTCGTCATGTTCTGCTTGCCTTAAACCACTTATGAATTGTCCATGGGCTCCAAGGTTGCCCTCCAATGCTTTTCTAAATCTCATTGTTGCCTGCACCTTTGGAGGAGGCAGGGTGAGCGAGACCCTTTTTGGTAGCGTGTAGCCATGCCAAGCAGTCATCAGATGGTGGGTAATTTCTTTTACCTAGGGTCTCATTCAAGATTCTTTGGTTGTTAATAATAGAAACCAACTACAGCCAGTTGCAGGGGAAGGGAAAAGAGTACACTGTGATACTGGGATATCTTACAAGATCCCAGGACAATTGGGCCTTTTAAGAGGTGGGACCGGGAGCTCTGAAGCCGCTAGGAGCCCATAGTCCTTGTTCATTCTCTTCCTCTGCATCCTGTAAAAGAAACATTAATTGCAAACAAAGTCCTGTTCAGGGTGTACATGTGACTTTGCTCTTCACGTGCATGCTGTAAAATGGATGCCTCATAGCTACTGAGTTTTCCTCTTGTTTATCCAAGTAATCAGCTCAGATTGATTGGATGCCTCTAAGTCTTAATTTCAGACTCCCAGGGAGAGAGAGAATTGGATGGGCTTGGGTCATGTGATCACCCTAGTCCAGTCGATATGGATGTGTGTCTGTGTATGAGATGGTACAAGCATGACTACTGGCAGTTGTCAGAGAATGGGGCTTATTGTGAGCTTGGCAAGTCCCTGCCACCCTTGGCTTTTGGAATCAAACCCGCTAGACCCAATCCTAAAGTGAGCAGGAGTTCTTGGCCATGCGTTCCTTGGGCAGAGTGGAGCACTCGTCTTCCCGTTATGCTGTGGGGTCTTGGGGGGTGCTCGTGAAGAACTGTTGAGTAATTTATAAGACTGCACACCTGCATCTCCAGCTGACTCCCATTACAGTTTCCTTGGCGTTGTTCCCACTCCCCTCTAATCAGAAAGACTCTTTAATGAGAGATCCACATTTTGCAAACTTTCTTTCTAGCAGAGACATTATTTGGAAACCAAAGCCTTCCTTCAGTTCTAAAGCAGGACCAATCAAAGTGGACATGGCCCTTCTGCCACCATTACTTTTTTCTATGCAGATAGAAATGGAAATAGGTTTTTCATAGATATATGCAATGGCATTCCGTAGAAATTAGCAGTGTAGGGAGAACACTGGCCTAGGGGTCAGAAGTTCGGATTTTGTTCTTGACACTGCCTTTCATGTAAAACTTAAAGACTTTGGGCAATTTTACAAATCAATCCAAATCTCAGTTTTTAAATTAATAAAATGGGGATAATATTTTCTTTGTTTATCATCTTATCAAGTGCTTTAAATATGATCAAATTTCTATAAATAGAAGATATTCTTTATTACATGCCTTTGCATGGACTATTTGTCACTTTCTAACAAAATTCCAATGGTTAATAGAGATTTGAGGTTTGACAGCAGCAGGAGAGGTGGGAACATAGAAAGAGTGATTAAATAATCCTTCTAATCATATAAGGTAAATTAGAAGCAGAGCTGGGGTGAAGGCTTAAACACAGGTCTTCTCCAGGTCCCCGTTTTTTCCAGCAGACCCTCCTGTCTCAGTTTGCAGTTGGCCCGTCCTGATCTGACATAAAAGAGGAGACTCCATGTTGAGATCCAACCACGGCGCTAGGCCCTGCCCACATGATAAATGTCTGTGCATATCCTGGACAAGACTCTTAGTTAAAAGTGCTGACTGCTTTGTAAATCTGTACGCCTGGGAGATCAGACCTGTTGGCGTTTTCTTCTCTTCCTTCAGTGTGTCACGGGGGTGGAGGGGGAGGTGAGAAGAACTGCAGTAGGCAGGGTCTCAGCAGAAGTGAGGCAGGTCTCGGGGGTGATTTTCTCCTCTGTGCCTTCTGGGGACTTTGTGGGGTGAAATAGGGTTAAACTAAATGACAAAATCTGAAGAAATGAGGCCTCACTTCCTTTGGTTTTGAAGCAGCAGAGGAAATATGACAGGAAAAGCAAAAAGAGTAGGTAGCACTGTTAGAGCACGTTCTAGTTTACAGGGGCGTGGCGTTCATGGGTGCTGGGCCACTGATCTTCACAAGCGACCCTGTGGGCCGGATTTTGTTATTGTCACTGTAATCCGGGCAAGGATCTGGATAACAAGTCCAGCCAAGGTTAAGAACCACTGCTCTTGCTTTCCCCAAATTCATGGCAGGGGACAAGTTATCTTCTGACCTATTGCTTCTCAAACTTTAATGTGCATAAGACATACCCGTGGCTGTTGTTAAACATCAGATTCTGAACCGGGAGGTCTGGGAGGGCCTGAGATTCTGCATTTCTCATCAGCGACCAGGTGATGCTGCTGGTCCTGGAACCGCCTTTGAATATCTAGGTAATCTGACCAATATACCTCCCTGATATTGACCACCTGCAGGGCTGGGTGTCACCTGACCCAGGGTCCCCAGCTGTGCTCAGGTGGCCTCTCCCCTTTCCACATGGCCCCTCTGCCTTTTTCCCCATCCTCTTTGTATTAGGGTCCTCCAAGGATCCCATGACAGGCCTTCTGCAAGATGGGGAATGAGAAAAGCTGGTAACTTGGCTTAGTCCAAATCTGAAATCTCAAAACCGGGAAGGAGCAGGCAGGTAAGCCCACACTTGGAGCCACAGCCCCAAGTCTGAGGCTGAAGACCTGAGAGCCCCCTGGCAGGCTGATGGCACAAGTCCCAGAGTCAGAAGGCCAAAGGACCTGGGGTCTGACGTCCGAGGGCAGGAGGAGAGAAAGCAAAGCATCCCGTGTGGGAAAGGAGAGAGAGGGGAGGGGGCGGGGGAGAGGAAGCTCAGTAAGCTGAATATGCCACCGTCCTCTGCCCGCTTTGCTCTGGCCGTGCTGGCAGCCGACTGGATGGTGTCCTCCCCATTGAGGGTGGGTCTTTCTCTCCCAGTCCACTAACTCCCAAGTTCACATCATCCGAAAACACCCCCACAGACACACCCAGAAACAATGCTTCACCAGCCACCTCGGCCTCTCTCAGTCCAGTCAAGTGGACAGCTGGTATTCACACTCACATTCCCCAGCCGCGCTGGTGTGGGACTCCGCCCGTTTGTGTGGTTGCACCCTGAGCCGCGGCGCCTCTTCCCTCCCACCACTGGGTTTGCTCCTGTGGCTTCCGGACTGGGCTTCCTTCCAGCACTGCTGCTGGTGCCAGGGCCGGTGCCTTCCAGTTGCCCCATTTGTTGATGTCACCCCAGTTCTAAGGTC